CCTCCGCCCCGTCTCACCCTCCCGCCGGCCGTGCCGTGCCTGCAGATGTCCCCAGTTTCCTCAGGGACACAGAGTCTTTCTGGGGTACCCAGCCCAGTCTGAGGGTCGTGGTCCTCGGCCTGCCCCGGGGCTCTTTGCCCACTCAGGTGTCCCGTGGGTTTCCTGCACCCCACGGCTCCCAGAGAAGCTTTGGGCTCGGGGACAAAGCGGCTGGTGGTCCCCACCCTCTTATGACACTAATCCCTGGGTCACCATGGGCTGGGGTGACCCCGAGCCTGCAAGGACCACAGCAGGGGTTCATCTGGGTGTGCATCTCCCGTGATGTCTCACCCACGTCCTCGGGGCTTCTGTGTCTTCTGCCTCTGTGCAGAGGCTCTGCCTCTCCAAGGACACTCAGTACCTGGTCCTGGGAGCCACCACAGACTCTGTTGCCCGCAGCAGAGAGCAGCTTCACTTCTCAGCTTCACTGGCGATCCACAGCAGTGAGGGAGGTAGGGACGTGGGGAGCCCATGGGGGGTGGTGTTTTCCCTGCCCTTGTGTCCTCACTGGGTCATTTGAGGTCCTCTCAAGCCTATGCGAGGCGGTGGGCACAAGCGTGAGACCCTGGATCACTGTACTCATCGCTCCTCACCTCACCAGGTGCCCCTCTACCCTCCACGGAGGCCCAGCAGCTCCTGTTTGGCTCCGATGACAAGTGCTTCACCCGGATGACCCCAGTGCTGCTGCTGCTGGCCAAGCCACGGTGGGAAGAGGAGACTTCGGCCCCATCCTCCTACCTCTCTGCTGGCGGGGTGGTGGACACAGCTCCGTATCCACAGCTCAGGTCTGTGACCATCACCGCAGGCATGGGAAAACAGGGTTGGGAGACAGAATGGGTCAAGGGGCAGCCTCAGCCTTTCTGCCATGGAGGATGTGGGGCATGGCCTGATGGGACCCCCGGGGTACATGGGGACCTTGTGACCTACCCTGTGTTCTCCTTACAGACCACCGCAGGCTGGGACCAAGGAGCTGCCAATCCCCACTGCCCCAAGCCAAGACAATACTTCATCCCCAGTGCCTGGCAGCAGCAGGCAGTTCTTGGGAATCCTGACTCAGTTCATACATCAGGTCTTGAGCTCTTCCAGCGAGCCACCCCCCCAGCCCAGTGCCCACCACTGGCTGGACTTCCAGGTGATGGAAACCCTCCCACACCAGCTGCTCAACCTGTCTGAGGAGGCGGCACTGGAGCAGCTGGTGCAGTCGGAGGAGCCCTCGGTGCTGCTGTTCCCCCAGGACAGTGATGCTGTGCTGGAGCAGCACCTGGGGGACTGGCAGCCGGAGGGGACCGTG